AACGACCGGGGGGGGGGGGGGGCGGAGAACAAAATTTAAATTCCTAGTTTCATACTAAGAAAAGCTAAGTAATAATTCCAGTTTCATACTAAAAAAAAAGGAAAATTTACAGCACCTCTTTCAGTAATAATTCCAGCGATTGCTTTATCTGCTCCAGGACTCAGCACTACCAGAGCTCCTACATTGTGCTGCGTCATCTGAAATTGGAGTTGAGCTGTCACTATCATGGAAAGAAAAAGAAGTGCAAATTTTCAGGCCCCATTAAAAGTTCAGAGTGACGAGCGGTGAGATTATCTGGCGAGCGCATAGAATACAATATTGATTAGTTATTATATTAGATTAATAAACATAATTAATTAGTTAGTTAATCATAATTAGTTCTCTTATATTCTATAAATAGTCTCCATTGAAGACATTGAATAAAATAAAAAATGTGGAGGTTCTTCTCCTATCCTGTGTTCTCTTCTCCCTCCTTCACTATTTTCTGGAGTTGCCATCATCTTTGAATTGCCTTTTATCCTTATTTACTTGTGTTTCTGTTCTCTGATCCTTCCCAACCCAACTTCTGGAGTTGCCGACATCCTTGAATTGCCGATTATCAAAATCCAAGAAATTGGTTTGTATCACGAGCAGAGTTCATGTCTTTTATGCACAGGTAATATTTTTGCTATGCATTATTTTATATTGGCGTTGTATTAACATCAATAGTGCTAAGTAAAATACAGAATAAATAAGCAAGAAATTTCAAGCTAAGAACACCTAAAAGTCTCCCAAGTGAGAGGGAGATAACAAGAAGAGCAGTCATTTATGAGGCTGTGAAGTAGTCTAAACCAAGTACATTAATAATCAAGAAGTACATAAAGCTCTGAGGAAAATTATTGAGAATAGAAATATACTCACAGATTTAACAGCATCATACACTGTGTCTTCTGTGGAGCACCAGAGCCAGGAGCCATCAGCGCCTTTGCCTTTGGCATTCAAAATATCCGCAATCGTTGTACTCTCAAAGCCCTGCTCTTCCAGTTTTGTAGCAGCAACTGTCTCGGCACGTGAAAACATAACTGGCCGTGCAACGGGAGCTATAACACGTACATGTCTCAGGACGGAGTATTTAAGAACATTTCCATGGGAACAGATTGCCTTGAATATCCCTTGCATTTTCCCTAACAGGAATAAATCAGATGTCAGTTCAAGTTAATACTATTTGCATACAAACTACTGATGTTGTTAAATTTTATGCGATAGAGAATTGTGAGAGGTTAAATGGGTTAGTAGGTTATAACAGTTCTACTGAGTGTAATATGTAGAGTGCAAAATGTTAGGATCAATAGGTAACTAAATGAATCCTCACAAGTCTTTAAATATCGGCTCTTTGGGAGTATTAGAGAATTAAATGAAACAAAATAATTCCCCTTCGCTGAGATTCTCCTTTTCCTCCTCAATTCCACGTTTTTTTTTTGAAGTTTTGGGCGGACTCCAATTGTTGTTTATCCCTCAATCCTCATTGGGTTTCATAATTATGAAAAATAAAAGAAAATCAAACGTTGCCTAAAGGACCATGTTAAGATAAGGAGGGTAGGAAAAGATGAAATGCAAAACATCAGTGAGAATCTCATTCTTTGGTTTATCAATGAAAGAAAAGGACATATTTTTTACTTCAGTGGAACTGTTACACCGAATAAGAGAAAAAAAATCACATCCAGCTGTGAGAGTTGGGTGGAAGAAATCGAAATAGAACAATGTCTGAAAATTACTCTGCTATTTTGATACCTAAAACCTACTTTAGACAAGCAAAAGGCTCATCCAAATAAAAAGCAAACACTGAAAATGGGATGACATATTTTTAAGATTACCCTTAAGTTGCTCTGCATTTTGCATCTGTATAATCATCTTCAATTTGCATGACATCAAAATAACAAAACAAATATGCAAACCTAAAAAAAACAGAAAATGACAAAATAAATTGTAGCCCGGAAGCACAAAGCAGCGACCCTGTGCACCTTTAGCTTGGTGTAGACGTGCGTGAAATGGCTGTAGCGGAACAGTGGTGTAACGATGCTGCCAGTTGGGTTGTTTCATCCCGAGTGCACGAAACAATTACATCATGCGATGGCGTGGCAGCCTTAGTAATCACATAACATAATTTTCATCATTTATAAATGAACGCCTACGAGATCAACAGAATACTGGAGAAGGACTTGCAAGAAATCCACCATCTTTATCTATCGCTGTGTAGATTTTCATAATTTGATGCATCTTATCTAATGTTTGGCGCTTCTTTAACAATGATTCCAATCATTTCACAATAAAAGGCAACTGCTAATTGGCTCATTCTCAAAGTTTCTACAAAATTCCTCAAGAAGACAACTATCCTAGTTCATTGACTTCTCAATAAATGTGTTAAGTGTGATATGAACCATACCAATACACCAGTTAATGTGGTATATAAATATAAATCAAACAAGAGAACGATCGACGAAGTAAAAAATAGAACGAGAAAAATCACACAATAAAAGAACACACAAATTTACGTGGTTCGGTAAATTGCCTTCATCCGCAGAGTTGTAGAGGATTTTACTACTTGAGGAATTTACAACAGTTGATCACCTCGACTTACAAAAGGAATCTCTCACTCTTCGCTCTCTCTCTTCTTCTCTCTCTGTTCTTCTCTCTCTACACCAAGATACACCGAAGAAGACAAACTTACAAGAGAAATAAACTCAATTTTTCTTCTACCACAAGTCACCACGAAGAAGCATAGAGAAAACAATCTTCTTCTTCTTTCTTCTTCCTTCTGCCGCAAGGAACTACTTCTTGCACTTCTCTTCTCTGCCCTGAGAAAACCTTCCTCTATCCCGAGAAAAACTGAAGAAGAACACCGTGACTTCACATTCTGAAGGAGAACCATCCGAAGCTTTTTATCACCAACAAGAAGGAACGAAGGGATGTTTCGTTTCACGTCAGAGGAAGGCGGGAACGGTTCGCGGGAACAGTTTCGCGAACGGAGGCGTGACTCTTCGCGAATCAGGATCGCAAATCGTCGCGATCGGGTCGCGACAGAGAGAGCAGGAGCGAGAGTCGGGGTTAAGCGAACCGGGCTCCACGCCAGTGCTAACAATCTCCAACTTGGAGACCGGTACACCTGCTACAACGTCTCCTTCCTCGAACTGAATACTCCACTGGTAGTGTCGCCTTTTACAAAAGTGTTATCCTCCACCTCTGCAACTCAAGACCCCTGTCTTCAAGTTAGAAGACCAATTAAAGCTGCGCACAACTTCAGTTTCTCCAGAATAACACCATTTGTCAACATATCAACAGGGTTCTGACTTTCACAAATTTTCTCAAGCAACAATTGTTCGTCATCCTGTTCGTCATCCAATAATGACAATGACCGTATGAAGTGATATCTGATCTGAATATGCTTTGTCCTGGACTGAAATGCTGGATTCCTGACAATGAATATGACGCTCTGACTATCACTGTAAAGTATGCCCTTCTGATCCTTATTGCCCAATTCTTTCAAGAAGTTCTGTAGCCATATCATCTCCTTTGCAGCCTGTGACACTGCTATATACTCAGCTTCTGTAGTAAACAACGAAATTGTCTTCTGTAGATTAGAGCCCCAAGATACTGCAGTGCCACCAATAATGTAAATATAGCCTATAGTACTTCTAGTATCAATGTCTCCAACTATATCAGCATCAACATAGCTTCGTACCTCAGAACTCTTTCCTGAGAAACACAAACAAGTTTCTGCAGAGCCTCTTAGGTACCTCAAGATCCACTTCACCGCTTCCCAATATTCCTTTCCAAGATTACTCATGTATCTGCTAACAACTCCCACTGCATGGGCAATATCAGGCCTGGTGCAAACCATAGCATATATAAGTGAATCAATAACTGAAGCATAAGAAACCTTACTCATGTAATCTCGTTCCTCCTCTGATTTGGGTGACTGATTCTTGCTGAGTCTGAAGTGAATTCCCAAGGGTGTGTCAACTGGTTTGCAGCTCCCAAATCCTTCATTGCAAAGTGCTCTGACATTTGCTCCTTCAGATTATTGATCTCCTCAATATTAACACCTGCAATAAACATGTCATCCACATATAACAGTAAGATAATATAAGAATTGTCAAAATACCTGACATAACAACAGTGATCCGCCTGACATCTGCTGTACCCTGCACTGTGCATGAAATTATCAAATTTCTTGTACCACTGTCTAGGAGCTTGCTTCAGGCCATACAAACACTTCTTCAATCTGCAAACAGACTCTTCCTTACCCTGTACCACGTACCCTTGAGGCTGGTGCATGTAGATGCCTTCTTCAAGATCCCCATGAAGAAAAACCGTCTTCACATCTAACTGCTCAAGGAAGAGATCTTCAGTAGCCACCATTGACTGTACCATTCTGATAGTTATAAGCTTCACCACAGGAGAGAAAATCTCGGAATAATCAATACCGTGTTTTTGCTGAAAACCTTTTACAACAAATCTTGCCTTGTACCTCTTACTGTCATCGTGTTCAGTCTTCACCCGGTACACAAACTTGTTGGTTGTTGTGTAATGCCTTCTTCCCAGATGGAAGATCTGCTAACTCCCAAGTTTGATTTTATAGTAGAGAATCTATCTCCTTCTTCATGGCAAGCTCCCACTTGCTCGAATTTTTACCTTGCAAGATTTATTCATAACTCTGAGGTTCTCCACCATCTGTCAATAAAATGTAGTTCAAAGTTGTAGAATAACGCTGTGGAAAACGTCCAGCCCTTTCTGACATGCGAACTTCAACTGTAGGAGTAGACTGCTCTGAAACTAACTGTGAAATAATAGGAGTGGATGCCCCGGATCCAGTCTCCTCGTCACCTACATCTCTGCTCTATCCTGCACTGTGACCTCTAGTAAATCATCAAATCTTACCAACTCAGATTCCTTCAGTGTTGTTTCAGAAAATGTACTGAGCTTGTCATTGTACATAACATTCTCATTGAAAATCACGTTCTGAAAATCACGTTCCTGCTCCTTCTCCTTATGATCTTCCGAGCTTGATCATCCCAGAAACGATATCCAAATGCCTCGGAAGATCATAAGGAGCAGGAACGTGATTTGGATCTTTCCCACTTCAGACTTTTTCAGGTAATTCACAGTTTAATGGAACGGATAATCCCCTATTTATCAAATAAACTGCAGTACTGACTGCTTCTGCCCAGAAAGTAGGTGGTAGTCCGGCGTGCAATCTCATGCTTCTAGCCCGCTCATTAATGGTCTTGTTCATGCGCTCTGCAACACTATTTTGTTGTGGTGTTCATGGAGTGGTATTCTCCATTCTGATTCCCTGAGCTGCACAGTACTCCTTGAACCCACCATCAATGTACTCACCACCATTATCAGACCTCAGACATTTCATCTTTAAGCATGTCTCTGTCTCAACCATGGTCTTCCAAGTGTTGAACACACTGAATACATCAGATTTATACTTCAAGATATAAACTCATGCCTTTCTGCTATGATCATCAATAAATGTGACGTAGTAACGAGAGCCTCCAAGAGATGTCACTAGAGAAGGTCTCCACACATCTGTGTGTACAAGATCCCACATTCCTGTCTTTCGCGTCCTGCCTCCTTTCAAGAAACTGACACTTCTTTGTTTCCCCATAATGCAACTGTCGCACAAGCTGAAATCAACTGACTTCAGTTTTGGTAGCTTGCCTTTGGACTGAAGTTCCTTCATACCTCTTTGACTCATGTGATCAAGTCTGTAATGTCACAACTCTGTTGTGCTGTCTGCAACAGTAGTATCAACATTGTTAATTAAATCAGTAGTCATATACAACGTACCTATTTTCTTACCCCGAGCCAGTACCAGTGCTCTTTTAATAACCTTTCAGGTGCTATCTGAGAACACTACTGAATGTCCACACTCATCAAGCTGCCCAACAGAAATGAGATTCTTCTTCAGTTCAGGAATGTGTTTGACCTTTTCCAGAGTCAACTTGTTCTTATTTGGAAGTGCAATATCAATATCTCATTCCTAGCACGTTCAGAGCTTCTCCATCTGCTAGATATATTTTTCCAAAGTCACCTGCAACATAATTCCGCATCAATTCCCGATTGAAAGTTGTATAGAACGAAACTCCTGAATCCAGTATCCAGTCATCAACAGGACTATAAACTGCCAACAATAATGCATCATGTGATTCTTCAGTTACCACATTCGCACTGTCATTCTGCTTCTTCTTAAGATTCCTGCAGTTTCTTCTTATGTGGCCAGTTTTGCCACAATTCCAACAAGTTACTTGTTTACCAGGCCTTGACTTGCTCCTGTTTCAGTTCTTTGATTTTGATTCTCTCCTGTTTGAGTTCATATCAAGTTATCTCCCTCTGGAATCAACATCTAATGTGAACTCAAACCTGAGATCTCGCCAGAATCTTTCCTGCGCATTTCCTCAGTTAAAATCAAATCACAAATATCTTCAAATTTCAATTTCGATTTACCTGCAAAATTACTGACAGCCATCTTCATAGCTTCCCAGCTATTTGACAATGAAACCAACAAGATCAGTGCACGTATCTCATCATCAAATTCAATTTCCACAGATGATAATGAATTTGTGATAGTATTGAAATCATTCAGGTGTTGTACAACAGACGTACCTTCCGTCATCTTCAAATTAAATAACTTTTTCATCAGATATACCTTGTTATTCGCAGACCGCTTTTCATACATATCTGACAGGGCTGCCATAAGATCTGCAGTCGTCTTCTCCTTGATGACATTGTGTGCAACGGACCTCGATAGGGTCAATCGAATAACCCCCAGAACCTATCGATACAACAGATTTCATTCAGTCTCATCCATCCTTTCAGGTCTTTTCCCCAATAACGGAAGATGAAGTTTCTTCTCATAAAGGTAGTCCTCTATCTGCATCATCCAAATAAACAAAATTTGTATCATCAAACTTCTCGATCCCTGAAAGTTTCACTTCGTACGCAGTCATTGGCTCTGATACCAGTTGATATGAACTATAACAATACACCAGTTGATGTGGTATATATATATAAATCAAACATGAGAATAGGAGAACGATCGACGAAGTGAAAAATAGAACGAGAAAAATCACATCAGAAAAGAACACACAAATTTACGTGGTTCGGCAAATTACCTACATCCACGGAGTTGCAAAGGATTTTACTACTTGAGAAATTTATACCAGTCAATCACCTCGACTTACAAGAGAAATCTCTCACTCTTCGTTGTTCTCTCTCTTGTTCTCTCTTTATTCTTCTCTCTCTACACCGAGTACACCGAAGAAGACAAACTTACAAGAGAAATAAGCTCAATTTCTTTTCTGCCACAAGTTACCACGAAGAAGCCTATGGAGAACAATCTTATTCTTCTTTCTTCTTCCTTCTGCCGCAAGGAACTACTTCTTGCACTTCTTTTCCTTTGCCCCGAGAAAACCTTCCTCTATCCCGAGGAAAACCGAAGAAGAACATCGTGACTTCACATTATGAAGGATAGTCATCCAAAGTCTTTTATCACCAACAAGAAGAATGTATGCTTCGTTTCACGTCAGAGGAAGGCGGGAACGGTTCGCGGGAATAGTTCGCGGGAACAGTTTCGAGAATGGAGGTGTGATTCTTCGCGAATCAGAATCGCGAATCGTCGCGATCGGGTCGCGACAGAGAGGCAGGAGCTGGAGTCAGGGTTTGGCGGACCGGGCTCCACGCCAGCGCTAACAAAGTGAACCTCTTGGGCAACTCTGTAGGTTTTCTAACTAATACCAATTCAAATCGCCGTCTACTTCGTTAAGTCTAAAGATGCTCTCAACCAACTTGCCATGGACTTCAAAGTTAGAAACTTTCTCTAAGAAAGACTTTACTAGCTCAACCACTTCCACCATCATTGCCACCACGCCAACTTCAAGATTCCTTGCCTCTTTTAGGGATTCAATCATGGCAAGCAACTCTTTGAACTTGTTCATAGGGATTATCATCTAAGAATTTGCATTGATGTGAATGCAATTGCCTTAAAATCTTCAAAATTTTGGCAGGAGTTTGAGATTCCTCCTTGTCAAAAGATACCATCTTGATTAGCATTGGTATTTAGCTCCTCGCCTCCTCCCCTTCACTGGCATCAACAATAATGTAATGCCAACCTTAACCAACACCGATAAAAGGTACATAATTAGTATTGTGAAATTTATTAAATAAAATGTCACATCAGGAATCTCATACTCAATCTTTAGACTCTGCTTTCTCTTAATTTGTGTTGGGTTTATGAAGCCTGAAGCACTCACAGCAGCTTAGAAGAGCACCACAGCCACATGGAAGAAGCAGACCAAGCAACCTGGAGATTTCATGAGAGGCGCACCAGCGCCTGCACACCTAGGGTGTGGTTCATAAGGGGCATGCTCTTGCCTGGGTCTACAGCACTCCTGTGCCCTACTTTGGGCACGAAATACCTGCGTCGAGGAATAGTGCGGGCGAGCCAGGGTCGGTTACTTCAGTTCGGTTTCCTTAAATTCGAGATTTTGACCGACGAAGAAAGTATCTTTGCACGTTCTTTTATAAGGTTTTCGTGAAGTGAGGAAGGGTGAAGAGGAGGGTTTGAGCTTGCATTTCTCTTGTGAGAACAAGATGAATAATTTAGAGGAGAATTATGTAAGTTTCATTGCTTATAAAGAAGAGATCTGAGTGAATTTTCTATACTTTTCTGAATTTTACAGTGAAAATTTATTTACGGTGCAGCTCCCTGCGTTTTTTCCATTTTTTAAAGTTTTTTTTCACGTTAAATTCTGATGTCTTGTGACGTGGTGTCATTTTGATTCTAATTGGATTGAAGCCCTGACAGAAGCAGGGAAGAAAGATTCCCATCAATCAACCCCAACAATTTTCCTTCTGTAGCTCTATTTGGCTCGCCCTCTCTAGCAAATGAGTTTGACTGGAACTTTTACAGCTCAATTCATCAAAGGAATCATCAGCCACCCCCCCTCTCTCTCATCCCTTTTTCTCTTTGAGCTTAGTCAACATCTCTATTAAATTCTTCAAAATTTTGCACCGATAACAATGGATCCAAAAACAAACACAGAACTAACTTCACGCCGCAACCTAAGCACATTCCATAATCCCCTCCCCCATAAAATCAAAGATCGGCGTTTACAGCTAGCTCGAAGAGAGATCCAACCCGACCTATCACTAATCAAAACTAGCAGAGCATCTCTGCTGCACCATAAACAAATAGATCGAAAAAATCCGCAGCAAACTACGATACCACCCACTAAACCTCTGTGAAAAACAACAACAAAAAAAAAAAAAATTAAAGAACTAGAGAAAAGGAGAGATTCTTAGTTCCCATAACTTCTTACTACTTTGCCTTGCCCTCTGAAAGCAGGAATCAGCGGCGGCGAAGATGATGAGAGTTCGAGAGAAACAGGGAAGCAGGGAGTGAGGTTTTCACAAGCACCTGAGTCGACTTTTAGCCTCACAGGACCAAAAAAAAAGTTAGCCAAAAAAGTTAAAGATTCGATTTTTGACGGCACTCCAAAATCCACCCTCCGGAGAGGTTCGGTGGGAGCTATGGGTGTCTTTCTGGTCTCTGAAATATGAATACTGTTTAAGGAAATATAAAACCAGCGGCGGAGGATGGTTTCATGTGAAAAAAATTGAGTATTTAGCACCCATGCAGCACTCAGGGTTAGGTGGAGAATATAAGAGGTTATATTTGAGTTATATCCTCTGAAATCTATAGATATATGAAAATAAAATTGTGAAACTTAATAGAAGATACATAACATGAATATAACTCTCTTGTACCTTCTGTATAACCTTAAAGTACGCAACACTGCGCACTTCTTACGTACACAAATTTTTTCTGGTTTCATGACTATAATCTTTTTTTTTCATTTTCTATTTTCTTATTTTTTTCTTTTTTTTCATTCTTAGAATTAAATGAAATATGACATTAGATAAGACAAAATAGAGATAAAGGATTCAAAAAAATCTTCTAAATTTTTATATTTATAGGTTTAGCATTTAAATTTTTAATATCATATAAAAAAAATAAAAAATAATACTATTCAAAGTATATTTAAAATATTAGTGCTATATATA